GAGTCCATTTCAAGATAAACAAAGGGGTGTCCTAGGTCGGGACCTTATTTTGACGAAAATTAATACAAATATGGACTTAACGCGAGTAATTGTCCTTGTCTTTAAGCATTAACTTATTAAGCTTTGCGGTTGGTAAAAATCATCGGGGATGCTTTTTAACGTCAAGTATACAGGGCGTCTTAATTTGACTAGGATAACATGGCTATCTTTGTTATTATTATCGGTTAAACTGGCAAAGTTGTGCAGTTTTAAATGCTGATGGATTTTCCTAGGCGACATTTAGAAAAAAATAATTCGAAAAAATTGGAAAAAAGCCAAAGTCACGATCTTTAAAATAATATAATGTAGAATGATGAGGAGTCAGAGGAGTGTACTGTACCTACCAGGCCGCATAATTAACAATTCTTTGGGGACGGGGCTGCATGATGTGAGGTCGGCGACATCCGGGTGTCATCCCCGAGCGTGGTTTACTAACGTGGTGACTTTTAGTTTTTTCCTACCTTCTTCTGACGGTCCTAAAACTGTCGTCTAACTTCAAATTCAAATTCAATTTGGGCATAGCTTTAGCCATGCCAAAAGTCCAGTCGAATCGATTCAAAATTCAGAGTGCCCTTTTCGCATCTCGACCATTTATAAACCGAATTGCAAACTTTTTTATTTATTCAAGCATTACAATGAAATTCTTCTTATAAACTTAAATTGAAGTAGGACATCAAAATGGATTGCACATATGCAACGCTATCTTTCATATTTGTGGCCGGATTTTTACGATTTTAATAGAAGTTTCATCTGAGAAATGAGAAATGAATGCCAGTGGAAATGCGCTTTTTGTAAATCGTTTACGATTACTTTTTTAACTTGTTGTCTTTAGTGTTGGGGTTTCAGCTAAGGCTGCTCTACCAACCTAACCCACTATACACATTTACAAATACCCATGTCCGTACCCGGATTCGAACCAGGGACCCTTAGTACCGCAGTCCAGCTTCAACTCAACTGCGACACACGGGCCGGCTTAAGAATGATGTTATTGTTTGTAAAAACATCCAATCACATGTCTTAACAACACTGTTAGCTGAAACATAGTTAAGTATGCTGTATGGCTTTATAATACGGGCCGATAATCATTTTGAAATTAACAATTTTGTGGTTTTCCCTGTATTTCTTACCCGAGCGAAAATTTTGATTTTACCTTATTAAGTTTTAAAGTTTAAAAAGAGCACATGCTCAAAAATAAGTTAAAACCAACTTTTTTTTAAATGAAAATACATTTTTATTTTCCTTTTGGAATTTTACATAGTGTTTCATGTACAGGGTGTTCCATTTTCGACACTTTTATGGGCTGTTTTTGGGGTCAAACTTGCAATGGTAAAATCTAAATTTGCACATTTTTGCTTCAGAGATACGGAGATAAATCAAACAATTTTCAATTTCAGAATGACCGTATATATTCTTAGTAAAAACAGAAACAAAACAAACATTCTTGAAAATTATTGATAAATAATCTGCCGTTTTCAAAATAAATAATTATACAGTACTATCGGGTAAAAAAGTTATTGGATCTAACTTAATTTTATTTAAATGGCATACCCTGAATATTTCAATCTAAAAATAGCATATTAAATTCTTTTTTTTTTAAATTAAACACTGAAAAAATTCAATATCGATTCAAAAAGGTTCAAAAAAGATTTCTTAAAAATTCAAAAAATCGTTTGTAGTAATTTCGAATTTTTTCAGTCAGAAAAAAGGGCGATAGTTCGTAGAAAACAGTTCCTTTTGTTGACACCTTTAATTAGAATACCATGAATGGATAAAACGTGTGGTCCTCCCCCCCCCCCTTCCCATTTTCAAAAGTTTTACTTGCCACTAAAGGCATGCGCATGTAAAATGGCGTGACGTCAAATTTGAGCGGGAAATTCGAAATGCTGGACTTGGCTGGTTTACTGTCGAAGATATTGACCCCTATCGCCCCATACATTAAGTATCACTTTTAAATAGGCCTCTTTACGGGCTTATACTGACCTTATGCGCATTAAATAAGCATATCGACCCTCTTATATCGAAACACTGATTACTTAACTTTAAAGGCAAGTAAACGACCAAGTCTAGCAATTGGGAAAATGTAAACACAAGAACAAGGTCATGATCATTCCATATTGCCAACCGTAAAGTGTATATATGGTAGACATATCTTTAATTTTTAATTATAACGCAATTAATGGATTTTATTTAACGATTATTGCTCTGTTTTAATGTTAAGTAATCAGTGTTTCGATATAAGAGGGTCGATATGCTTATTTAATGCGCATAAGGTCAGTATAACCCCGTAAAGAGGACGTATTTAAAAGTGATACTTAATGTATGGGACGATAGGGGTCAATATTTCCAACAATAAAACAGACAAGTCCTGCAATTCGAATTTCGCGGGCTCTTATGACGTAACCACTAATAGACTCTTTGGTTGTCGCATGTAAAAGTTTAGGACCATTCCCGTAAAAGTAGTTCAACACGGCAAAAGTGGTTCCTGACCGACGGAGAACACGCAAAACAATAGCACCAGCGCTAAAAAACGCAAAAAAGTACAATTTTTGCCGATCTACCTTTCATTGCATTGCTGGTTACTGGTTAGATTGTAGAGCATATGTGGTCTGGTAAGAATAAGATGCAAGCTGTCTTCCGTGTTGAAGAATTAAAGAAACAACTCACACCGGAGAGCCTTTATAATTTCAATTTCTAGATATCAAAATTAAAACCTCTCTTTCCTAATTTTTACGCCTTTTGTTTTGTCATATTTCTTCGAATTCAGCGAATTATCTTTTACACATTGTATAGAGAGTGTCATATTTCATAGTAGATTAGATTGTACACTTGCAGTTGAGTATGGAGCATTACAGTAAATGTCGTAAATTGCTCCATTGCTGAAACCAAATAAGTACGTTGGGCGTTTGTTGAACTGTATTTCGGTTGAAATTGTATTTATTTTGTCTTAAAACGTAGAGAAAAATTTTAATGAAACTCTAAAGAGTCTAAAGTGTGAGAGTGAAGGAACTACGTACGTTTTTCTAAACTAGATTTACGAGAACGCATTTCGTAACTAGGCGCTCCTCCACTAACTACAGCGCCATCTCAGAACGAGGGGACCGCATATCGGCACGCTAATGAACGTACGATTTTCTATTTTTACGGTTAGTTGCACCTCTTTAAAAAGCAGATGACAGCATCTCCTGAGCAAAAATTAGCAATGCCAGTTTATCCTATTTGTTTGTAACTCTTATTGTATTTCCTCTATGGAGACATAGCATCATATTAACAAGGTCATACTTCCTTTTCTTCTTCTTTATTTAGAACCACGACTAATTTATTTATCTCTCTCTCCCTTTCAAAATACATATTATTAAGTTCATTCTACTAATTGTTTTATTTTCTTAGTTTAGGGTGGGGTTAAGTGGTAGGGTGTCTCACCACAGAACTGAACTTCGCCCTGTTACATTACGGAACATTAATTTCATTTAATTTTAATTTTAATTATTTAGTTTATTATCCATTTGAATGTTTATAATTTTTTTCTGTAGGTACTTCCAGTAATCTAATAAATGCAACTTTTTATTATTATTATTATTATACTTATTTTTTATGAGGAATTCGAAAATGCGATCAGAAGAATTTGAAATAAGAAAGTTCCGATATCGTTCTGATACGAGCGGAAAATCGGCCATCTTGAAAATATTTTTTAATGATTCCTTTTGATCGATTATTCAAAAAAGGTATGGGTCCCGAATCGAAATTCCAAAGATACTTCTAATGGCCCACTTAAAAACACCACTCTGTATAATAGCCATGTTGTTTCAGCAAGATCTAGTTACCTGTGGATGTTTTGTTGACAAATGAATTTAAAACATCTGATTTTGAAATTTTTCTTGTAGGTTTATGTAAAAGTATACGTCATATTTTCCTTTTTTTGTCCCATTCCGTAAAAATTCATTATGGAGTAAAAAATAGATATTCTATTGGCAGTATTGACCTCATTTTTTCTCGAAATATTAAAATAGGTACTTTGAACTACCAAACCATTATTCCAAGCAACGCACAAATACATTCCAAAGCACGATCTGAACAAAAAAAAAATGCGGTTAATCCATTCGTACAGTTTGCCACGGAGTGATTCAGATTTTTAGCCAAAATTTACAGTCACACGCCAAAATGTTTCGATTTAGGTTCGAAAGTTTCTTTCCGCGGTTTGTTTTATTGACGACGCAATAAAAATGTCGAAGTGGACAGTGAAAAATTTTGACGATGGTGCGAATTGAGCGCGTGTGACTAATAACGGCCGTATTTCACGTACCATATCGCCTTTTTAATAATACAAAGATCTTGTTAGGGAAATCTCCAAGGAGGATTTTATTGTAACGCGTCGTTTTTGTTCTAATGAGCGAACGGCGTCGTTTCGCCCGTTTTTATTTCGACGCGAAGGTAGAAACTGTTTACAAGTCCATTCTATAACGTTTAATGTTCTAGATGGCGCCTATAATTGCTTCGAGTCTCCCTTAATTAAAATTCCAACGACCCCGAAGGAATCGTATCACTCTGTATATAGGGGAACTACGATATTGATCGCCTGTTGCATCTCCCGAACGGCGCCTGCCCGAACACAGCGTGTCCTGCCAGTCGTTCCTGCCGTTTTACTCGTCCTGATGGCCAAGTAGGCCAAACACTCAGCTGACTGTCGCCTTCCCGGTTGTCCGACGGTCGTCCTGTTCACTTTTAAGAGTTTGCCCTAAGGTAAGTCACTTTAAGCCCTTTTCGCTTTTTTTTCGCTTTGAGTTTGGACGCGCGATAGTATAGAGTCGCCTTTCGTTTTACTTTTTTCGCATTTTCTTTTTTGTAAAGATTTTATCGCCGCAATATGGGGTGACTTTGGAGACTTCTGAAGTCCTCCTGAGGCCAATTTTTCGGACTGAAAATTACACGTTATCGATTGGAACGGCGAAATTTCAAACCAAACGACGAATTTGCTTTGGTTTTATTAAGAAAAAGGCATCATTAACCGTACAACTTTTAACAAACGACAGAGTCCAATTAAAGTAATTAACCGAAAATATCGCGTTACGTATCCAGTATCCCGATCGAGTTCGTCCATTATTTCCGGGAGGCTGGAAACTGATCACCAATTTGGTGTAAGTTAGTTGTTAGGGGGTTAGTGTGTGGTTTTCAGAAGTGGGAACTAGTTTGACCTTGGTTTAAGAGTGCGACTCGCCGGTGGTGGTAGACGGCTGAAACCGGACGCGTCGAAGACTGGCAGAAGCTGCTTTTGACTGCCTCGTATGTCCTCCTTCTTGAGAGCCTCGGTTGGGAAGTACGTCGCGCCGTAGAAATCCAAGCCTTGCTGTAGTAGACTGTTGAACTCCTCCAAGGAGGCCATCGTTATTCTGATGGGGGCAGGCACTCCGGGTTGCTCAAGCTTGCTCGTGACTCGAGTTACCTCCACCTGAGTGCTTGGGTTTCTTTTACAAGTATCGGGGCGCGTGGGTTACTTACGACTGAGGTGTAGCGGTACAAGCTGGCCCTAATGTCGTCCTCCGGAAGATCGCTAGGTACCTCCATCACGAGCAGGGAGAAGGTTTTTTGGGGTCGGCACGGAATCGCCACCTTTCTGTACAGTCGGCCACCGGTCACCTAGTGCGTTGCTTTTAGTTCAACTACTCGCCCGTTTACCACCAACCTTATGAAAGCCCTTCCGAAAGACCTGCTGATAGTCGTCCGGCTCGGAGAACTTGAACAAGATTCCGGTGGCGGTCTTCGTCAGACTAAAGCTTCCGCGAAAGTTCAGCTTGTCGCAAATGCCCGCCGCCTTGTCCAGGCTCAGCTCGTACGACGGAGTCAGTAGGAAGGCGCCTGCAATGACGGTCGAAAAAAAATCGCAGCGCTCGTCTGCACTCACCCTTAGTTAGGAAACGTCCGTGGTCGCTCAGTTCGCTGTTGGTATCGTCGTTCTCACCCATATCGTTCATATACAATGACATGCTTTAAAACTAGCTAAAATTCACCCATCCCTTTCGTTTTATACATCAAAATAATTAGCCGCCCACTCTCCCCCCGAACTTTATGATATATCAATAGCCGTAATTATCTTATTAAAGACATCATTTTTCGGCTCGAAGATTTCATTATACCACGCCGTCGTCGTAGGCCGATTTTTATAGGCGGCCTTGTGCACCTACCGCAAATTTCAAATCCGTGCACATGTAAATGACAGTTTGGGAATTATCCGCTTCGGCAGGTATTTGTGTTTTGTTTTAAAAACAGAAACGGGGTTGGCAGAGGGATACGGTTACTTAAGCTCCTAAATTGGATCTGCGGTATTCAATTAATGGAAAATGTTCAACCTTTTCGCGTGCGCCCCGACATAATATCTTGACATGTAAAATTCGGCTTTAATTAATAATTCGATTGCCGCCACCGGCGGGCGGTTTTCGCGATAAAGTTTATTTTTATTAACGCGCGCCGAGGGTGGCGGCGATCCTCTCCTCTTTTGTTGTCATTAAGGCGGATAAGACGTCTCACGTCGAGGAACTGACGCAGGGCCGAGCCCTAGCAATTAGCTAATGTTTTAGGAGTGTCTCGGAAGCGAAAGAGGTGCGGCGAAGGGCGCGCCGTGTCACAGGAATACACTCATTACCGGCGGACCAACCCTCCCATACTTCAATTTTACCTTAATTCGATTAAATTTCAAAGCAAAAATACTTACGACGCATTCTGTATAGTACACGGACGGTTTGCGTACATCTACCCCCCCGAAACACCTGTTGCCCGCATGCACTATTTATAGCATTCTCGGCGGTTCTTTTAATTTATTGAAAAATTCCTCCTTCATCTACTTACTCGCATTTTAACAATCGGCCTGTCACTACCACGAAACGACCAGGCGACGTGTTCCCAAATTACTAATAACGTAACGGATTATTCCAGAGTAAAGGTGCTTCAAAATTCCTCGATAATTACAAACTTTCTATTCGATTCGAGCGACCCTTTGAGGATCGTTATTGCGACTATTACTGTAATGATTTCTCTATGGTAGTTATTTCCCTTTTCCTAGACCAATTAGAAATTCCTCTTGCAAAAAGACACCGACATGTGACTAGCAGTTACAATATACAATGTGTCCCACTTCATTTTAGAAGCCCGTCTCCGACAATATTTGGGGTCCCTTTCCTTATATCATCAAATTTTAAACGATGATAATCTATATACAGGGTGAGTTTTTTTTTTCATTTTAAGCATTGGGATCTCGGAAACCATAACATACAGATTCGGTTAAATGAGAACAGAGTTGTCATTTTAGATATGTTTTTGTTTTTTGAAAAAAATCCACCGTTTACTAGATATGAGCGAAAAACAGATTTAGTGATTTTTCATTTAACTGTTGTAGAATCGTTATTATTAGAAATACAGCAAAATGACACGAATAAAAGTTTTCGACATTTTAATGCTTAACATTATGAACATACTAATTTCCTTCTATATTTGACAATTTCTGAGTTATAATACAAACTTTAATTTTTTTAAATGACAGTCATAGTTGGCTTTGACATTTTTAAAAAGGACAAATTTTCCGTTTATAACGATATAAGGCTTACTAAATGTACTTTAATAAATAAGCGCGCTGCAGGAATTTTAATATTATTGAGAGATAAATAAACAGCGAGTTTGCTCGAGAGTTTGCCATGGAAAACAACATCTACTGAGATAGGTAATGGTGCAATTGGGGCACATTTAACATATTTAAAGGCCATTTTGGAAAATTCACTATGAAAGTTAAATTAACAATTATATTCAATACGCTATTAAAAGTAGATCGTATCATGCCATGGAAAACAATAAATAAACAAAACTGCTGTTTATTGTTAAAGACCTCAAAGAAAACTTGGATTTAAAGTTTGGTTCGGAATTCATGGACCTATGATTTACGATGAAAATTGGACAAGCCAACGTTATCTTCGTTTGCTACCAAATGAATTTCAAGATATGTAGGATGGGTTAGATTTGGAAACAAGACATAATTTACGCTGGTTTCACCACAACGGTGCCCCGCCGCACAACCAACTGCAAGTACGAGAGCACATAAACCAACTATTTCCAAGGTCATGGATAGGTAGGAACGGGTCGACCCTTTGGTCACCAAGATCGCCAGATCTTTCAATTTTAGATTTTTGCTCTTCGGTGTTCTAAAAGGGTTTAATTTATCAGTGGACTCTTGCGATAAAAGACTATACCTATACATGATCCTGTGGTAAATGCCTTTCGCATTTTAGATAGTAGGATAGTACAGAAAGCTGTAAATTCTATTGCGAATCTTTTCGTTTGGTTTAATTTTTTTTCATGAAAAAGTAGCTAAATGATGCCTAAACAAGCTCGCGAAAACCGCATCTCGATATCTTGTTCCTAACCTAAAATTTAGGCCAAAGAAAATTTTATACCCTCAAAATTTTATTTTTTTGAGCTAATTTTTCCGGAATTATTTTTATTATGTAATTTGTGGCCCTAAGGTGGGTCGATTTAAAAAAAGGAAACCGCCGTAAATGCTTGAAATGCTGATCATCACGATATACAGGGTGACAATTTGAAAACTTACCACCCCCAATATCTTAGTAAATAAACGAGATATTTAAAAAAATCAAAATCCGTTTCGGTAATTCGGAGGGGGAATCACAATGACATAGTTGGCGACGCACCCCCTCACACCCCCTGCGCCCGCCACCCCAACTTTTAAATCTTAAATAGTGACCCCCCATGTGTGATACGTCGTTGGAAAGCTCTGAAAAAATGCTTTCCAACCATACCAAATAGCATTACATTTAGGTCAGTAATTATCGTGCAAATCAAAAAATAAACATGGAAAATCGTATTTAACTTGAACTTCCAAAGCCGACTCGACAGCAACTCATTTTTGATCGCCAGTTATAATCTATTCTCAAACTCTTGTCGAACCTTTCCAATGTTGGTTTTGCAATATTTCGACATTCTTGAATTATTCTCTGTCTTAGTTCGTCTATGTTCGCCGGTTGCGTTTTAAATACGACAGATTTCAAATGTATCATATTAGTTTATTTTTTGATTTGCACGATAATTACTAACCTAAATGTAATGCTATTTGGTATGGTTGGAAAGCATTTTTTCAGAGCTTTCCAACGACGTATCACACATGGGGGGTCACTATTTAAGATTTAAAAGTTGGGGTGGCTGGGGCGCAGGGGGTTGGAGGGGGTGCGTCGCCAACTATGTCATTGTGATTCCCCTCCGAATTACCGAAACGGATTTTGATTTTTTTAAATATCTCGTTTATTTACTAAGATATGGGGGGTGGTAAGTTTTCAAATTGTCACCCTGTACATATATATCTCAAGATATCGAGATGCTGTTTTCGCGAACTTGTTTGGCATCATTTAGCTACTTTTTCATGAACAAAAAAAATCGAACCAATGCATTTAATTTTTTTGAGAAAATTAACCATTTCTGTCGGAATGTCGAAAAAAGCCCTCAAGCGGCGATATGTGAAACTAATAAAACTTCAAATTTATAATATTTGTAGCCGAGGAATAACTCTTTTCAATGAACCCGAGTTTGTTGAAATCGGCTCAGTCGTTTCGAAGATACAAGGTGTTCTTTACGGAAACCCTTGAATACCGTCCATCACTTCATTTTTAGAGATACAGGAAAAATTGTCAAACAAAAAAGGTTTAGATTATCGTCGACTTCAAAGACCGGACATTTTTTGTTAGGTTAATATAGCGGAATTCACAGAAACATAACTTTTTAGATTCCAGATTGCTGCAGTTACGCTCCCTCGCGGCCATTTCAGAAACTTAAAAATATTTTCTAGGTTTTGCTCGTGGCCGTTTTAGTAATAACTTTTTTACCGCAAGCCTCTACGATGGATAGGTTCTCAGATACAGTACCTCGCATTCTTAGTTGGCCACCCTGTACATTGAACCTTATATCATCGTAAACAGAAAAAAAATGCACTTTTAAAAATGTCACAGTCAGCTATGGTTGCCGTTTAAAAATATGTAAGTTTGAGTTATAACTCGAAAATTATAAAACAAGAATGAAAATTAATAAATGTACCTTATTAAGCGGAACAAAATCTACAATTTTTGTTCTTTGCATATTTCTGTATTTCTAATACTAACGATTCTGCAACATTTAAAAGAAAAATCACTAAATCTGTTTTTCGCTCATATCTAGTAAACTGTGTTTTTTTTTCAAAAAACAAAAGCATATCTTGAATAAGCTCTTAAAACGACAACTCTTTCCGAATTTAACCGAATCTACAAGTTACGGCTGATTTTATTATTTTATAATGCATCGTGTTTCATTTGTTTAATTTTCCAAGGCCTACAGAAAAGTGTGGGGTGCTTTTCTATCGCGCCATCGACAAATAACGGAAATACGAAAAAAGTAATTTAAGATACAATTTATAAGCATTTTAATAAATTAAACTCATTTTCCCAATATTTGAGGTTAGGAACGAGATTTTGAAAAACGGTTTTCACTGGACTCTTTGGACGTTATTGGGCTACTTTTTCATAAAGAAAAAGTCATATCATTCCATTTGATTTTTTTAGGATTTTGGATCATAGTGTCAAAACTATTCTTGATTCTTGTTGTCCAAGGAACGCTCTTTTCAACGATACCAAATTTGTTAAAATCTGTCAAACAGTTAAGAATTTAAAGCAGGTTATTGCAAAAACAATTGAACGCCCCACGCCATCTTTGTTTTTGAAATAACTGAGTTTTTGTTTTTACGAAAATGATAGATAAACTGGTTCTCTTTAAAAATGTGAAAAAAAATGTTTAGTTATAAATTTAAAGAAAATGCAATTTTAAAATTTAAGATGGCAGTTACGCCCTCTGTTAGTCATTTTTAGAACTTGAAAATATTTTCCAGCGATTCTTCATAACCGATTTACCCAATAATTTTTTTTAACCCTGTCATATGACGAACGGTTCCGGAGATACGGCC